CTCTCTCTCTCTCTCTCTCTCTCTCTCTCTCTCTCTCTCTCTCTCTCACTTACTCACTTACTTAAACTAATAACAAAACCGTAAGCTGATTCAGAAGCATCAGATTGTCATAGCAAAGTCAGAATTACCTCCTCTCCTAGGTTCACGAAACGGTCGTCCATAAAATGCATTGCTGTTCTGTTGTAAGTGATCTTAAAGATTCCTAAATGCATCTACGAAGGCCAAATAAAGTGCTTTTTCTTTCGCCTAGAAACACACTGCGTCTCCTTGACATGGCTGCTTCAACACTAACTGCAGTTACTGAAACCACGCCTTCTTTCTTTGCGTGCACATTTGGGCGGCATTATGCAAATATTTCCACATAGTGAATTAGAAGATATTTGGGGGTGTGTTAGAATGAGCCGTTTTAGGGGGGCGTGGCAGTGTCTTAACTTTGATAAAGAATATCTCTTTGGTTTTGAGACTTTAGTCTTTGCAACTTCAGGGATCTTATCTATGCACAATCAGCTTGTAACACTCCAAAGAGAAAGGAAAACTTGAAATCGCATCTCATGACCCCTTTAATACTGGTCTAATTTTTTTTAATCTTTTTGTTTTTTGTTTTGTTAAATATCCTTTAACTTTGGGTGTGTTAGAATGAGCCGTTTTAGGGGGGCGTGGCAGTGTCTTAACTTTGATAAAGAATATCTCTTTGGTTTTGAGACTTTAGTCTTTGCAACTTCAGGGATCTTATCTATGCACAATCAGCTTGTAACACTCCAAAGAGAAAGGAAAACTTGAAATCGCATCATATGACCCCTTTAATACTGGTCTAATTTTTTTTAATCTTTTTGTTTTGTTAAATATCCTTTAACTTATATATATAATTTTTATTACATTATATATTATATTATTCATTTTAACTTCAGGTTTCTTCAATAAAATGTTTATACTTTTTAAAAAATATATAATGTAAAAATGTATATTATATTGTACTTTAGTATTAATGGTATTACTACTACTAATAATAGTGTTAATATAAATTTAGGCCATTGAAGTCTTATTAACTAGCTATTTAATAATTTATTTTGTGATATTTAACACAATAAAATAATTTATTTTAAGACTGATTATGATTGCAAATTACCAGATGCAGCAGCTTTCAAATTATAAGGTTGTAACTTTTGAACACTTGTAGAGACATCTAAATGTAAATTATATTTACCTCCGGCACTTTGACAGCTTGAGCTGATAAAACACTAATTTCCTTAATTGCTGTACTGATTAATCAAAGCAATTAGCAGGGGATTGACATGATGATATGGTACACAGGTGCATTACCTTTTCGGTGGAAACCCAGGGAAGTCCAGCTCACCCAAAATGAGATTGGATGATTTCTGGTCCCTAAAGCTGTGCCGGCCTTCCAAAGAATATCTGCTTCGACACTGCAAATACCTCATTCGCAAATACAGGTACAAATATACTTTCATATGAGTACAAAGGTGCTTCACCTGTTACAATCTGCTGCTCAGTGACTCATTATTCTGACCGCACAGTTCTTAATTAGAAAATTGTGCTTAAGAATAATGTTTACTGAATTAGGTCGTCTGGTCTCTCTCTGTCTGAAGCCAAAAAAAAACTGTCAGATGCTCTTAGTTTCCAAACGTCACTAGGAAAGTGTTTAGATATCTATTCCATGTTAAATACTTTGTGTCGAATGTTAATATGAAGAACATGATCTTGCTCTGATCCTGCAGTGATCTGAATGTAAACCTTTAGGACCCAGCTGTATTATGTAATTGCAGTGTCATGCAGCACTGCAGTTAGTGATTAAATTACAGTAGTAGTTTTCCATTGGTGCATGCGATTTCTGCACTTTTAGTGCCATCTGGTGGCCATATTTGGTTACTTAATGGAATAGTAGTGTACCTAGAAATAAAAAACTAATTTAAAGTCCTAATTTTTTACTGGGGATTCTCAAATCTGGCTCGCGAGATCCACATTCCTGCAGAGTTTATCTCCAACCCTGATCAAACGCACCTGAACATGCTAATCAGTGTCTTCAGGATTATTAGAAAAACTTACAGGTGGGTGAGTTTGATCAGGGTTGGAGCTAATCTCTGCAGGAAAGTGGATCTCGCGAGCCAAATTTGAGGATATCTGTTTTTACATTTAAGAATGCAGAATTTAAGGCAAATGTTTATCTTCTGCTTGCTGCCTTGTGTGTGTTTGCAGGTTTGAGGAGAAGGCTCAGACCGAGCCCTTGAATGCACTTAAATACCTACAGAATGATCTGTCCCTTACCGTGGACCACACCGACCCCAATGAGACAAAAGAGGTCAGTACCCACTAAAAAGAAACTGTTACATTTAATGATTAAGCTTGTAATTAACAAACCTTTAAACTTTTGCTGTTGATTGAGTCCGTTTGTGCATTTACATGTATTTTAATAGTTTGATTTCAGTTGAACTAAAGCAAATATCATGTCAGATACTGAAAATATATTAGGTCCAATACATAATTAAAAGTGCTTTTGTGTGTTTTTTTTTTTCCCTGTAGTTCCAGCTCTTACCCTCTGCTCTGTTCAAATCCAGCTCAGACTTCATTCCTCTAGGTGAGAGCACTGTTTGATGAACATGATTGTCCTCTAATCACGTTTTTCTACAACTGTGGAAATCAGTGCAGAAGCTTCTCCGATGTGCTTTGATTCTTATTAATCATTTTTTTCTTCTCTTCATCACAGGCTTTTCAGATGTGGATCAGACGTATGCCCAGCGCACACAGCTGTTCGACACACTTGTCAATTTCTTCCCTGACAATATGACCCCGCCCAAGGGTAACCTTGTCGACCTCATCACCCTGTAGCCACACCCCACTCAGTAGACCACACCCTCTTTAGACCTCTCAGACTCCTCCCACCCAAAACAGAAGTTATTTTTCTACATTTTCCACCTGAGGTGTGCCGTGCCCACCTACTGTGTTTCCTCCTACAGAAGTAATGCCACTTAAACGTCACTGAGATTTACTTAAAATGCAGAAATATAATGTTCTACTCTGGAGTGCCAGGGTTGTGCTTTTTTTATTTTTTTATTTTAAAAAGGTTTAGGTTTAAATTTGCATATCTGCCAAATTGTGCACCGAGTTGATTTGCCTATTCTTTCTTTTTTTTTTAAACAAACTTAAGCTTAGTTTTTCAGGTCTGTTTGAGTTTATCATTCAAATTTTCTTTCATACAGGTTGAAATGTAGGTGAGTTATAAATCCGAACAGTTTACATCATAAAGGGGTGGATTTGATTTATGAACTATGATCATCATGGGTTCCTTTTTGCCTGATTTTAAATCAAATTTTTATGGACAAATACATGTGCGCTGAGCCTGTGGAGGCCGAAGGCAAAGATCAGAGCGCCCTCTAGAGTCAGTTCTCTCACTCTCAATTCTGTTCACTCTCAATACTGGCTTCCATCTAAACCCACTGCTGCTATTTGATGCTGCCATGACATTAGTGCTTTCTTTGACTCTTTAATAGTGATGAAACGCCCGATTCCATAACTAAGTTCTCATCCACAGATCTTAAAAGGAATGTAGTGACATGTTTGAGGTGTCATGCACACATATATGTACACAACAACTGTTTTCCTGTGTGTGTGTGTGTGTGTGTGTGTGTGTGTGTGTGTGTAGTAACGCAAATATTATGATGCTTCATGGCAACACTTTGTACTTTAACAGGTCATTACACTTGTATCCATTAGCGAATGGATTAGCGAACACTTTGCTGCAATTAGACAAACCGAAGATATGGATGATTTGATTTTTTTGAAGTATAGATTGCTGTTTACTTCAGGTTGTGGCTGCTTTCTTCTGAACTCAATATAGTCCTGTTACATAGACTGTTCAGCTTACTGGTACCAATTCAAAGGACCCTTATTGGGACACCGAAGACAGAAGAGACCCCTCACTATTTATTATTATTATTATGTCTTGGTGAACTTGAGCCCTGAATATTATGTCTATCGCTATGATGTCATAGAGACGTCTATATGTGCCCTTCATTCCGTATGAGCTTCCGGATTGTTTAAATTCTGGACAGATGAAAGTGTGTTAGATGATAGTCTTCCATTTACTTGGTCTCCATTTGTGTAGTGTTAGTTTAACAGCAGTTGCTTTTGTTATTCGTCTCCCTGTGCATGAGTAGGAAGTGTTTGCCCTGCAAAAAAAATGTTCCGGTAATTGGATCGCTCTTAAATTTGCTGTAGTTTTGGCTTCACCCACGCAGAAACCAAAGGCTCAAAGAACCATAGGACAGTGCATTATGCTTCACCCTGCTGATTGTGTCCTCCCAAGTGTATCTCATATCTCAATTCCCTGAACTCAGTGTTAGCTGTAATTTGGCTCTGTGGAGATACACTCACTGCGCACTGGAGTGTGGAAGATTGTGATTGGCCCATTTGTGATTTCTAAGATTCAGTGCTCTTTATTTCTTTCCTGGCGTGAAAGCAATTTGGGTGTTTATGATTTGGAAACCAGGGCTTACTTTTGCCTTTCGTAGATTTAGCATTGTCTTTGTGCCAGGAAGAAAGTTCCTAGAAAAAAAGAAGTATGAAACCAATGAAATTGAATATACACGAGAGGATCGACACTTACAACCGGAGACTTTTTGTCGCACTTAATGCCAAATACGTTTTCTTGCTTTCGGTGTACATTTCTGCAGTGTCAGAGATGAAGTGACGTTTTATTTTCTTCTCTCCTGGAAATTCTCATCTCTTCGAGCCCGTGAGGGTACGTTGAGATGTCAGCACTACACTGTGGCTCTCATGAATGTGTAGAACCTATTAAAGAACTGCATTGTATGTAATGTACATAAAGAATAAAGATTGTATTTTGTTCAAGTTTTCTTAAATATTGTCTTGGTCTTCCGTTAACGTAGACCTATAAAACGTTATTTGAAGAAACAGACGGAAGTTATATTCGTCTAAGAATCCTGAAAAAAAGTGTTGCGGTTTCCACAGAACAATTAAGCAGCACAACCATTTTCAATGCTGATAATAAGAAATATTACTTGAGCAGCGACTGATTTCTGAAGGATTATATGAGACTGGAGGAATAAATTCAATTAAAAAAATATATTAAAATACAAAGTTATTTTAAATTGTAATTATTTCACTGTAATTATTGTAAATGTTTGTTGTATTTTTTATAATAAATGAACTTTTGTGAACATAAGAAACTACTTTCAAAACCATTTAAAAATCTTACAGACCCCCCCCAAACCTTTGAACAGTAGTAAATGCATTGTGTTATTTAAGATTACGTGCCTCGACATGTTACCTACTTAAGAAAACGCACTTTAAAAACTTTTTATTATTTTTATATTAGAAATCATGGCCATCCCCATCCAATCTGACAGAGATGAAGCTTCCAGTGTATCAGACCCCTGTCGTTTGCACACAGCAACAAACTGACTTCAAAAACAGAATACAACTATAAATTCAACCTTAATACTTTGGTGGAAGTACAACAGCTAAACTGAGACAGCAGTGAATCCCTTATATTGAAAATCTGTGTAGTGCATGCAAATACAATTTTTACACAAAATACAACAAAAAAATGTTTTGTTTTGGTGAAATCAACATTAAAACAATTAAATAAAACATCCTCAAAGAAAAAGGTGACCAATGACACATTATGATTTTTTTTTTTACCTGTAACTAAACTTAAAGAATGTAAGTGATTTGTGTTGGATTTAGTGTCAAATGTTTCAGGTTGACAAGACCAAAAACCTTCATACTGGCATGATTACCAACACAGAGACATGAGTGGAGCAGATGGAAGATAATGAAAAAGTTATCTACCAATCATGGAGTCACATACTTTTGACCCATAGTCTAATTTACCAGGACGAATTATCCATTGGTCCAAGTGTAATTTGGTGCCTATGAGTGTTAATCTTCCCTAATCAGAAAATGAACAAATTATGAAAGAAGCATAAAAATAAGCAGTATATACAAGCACAACAATTACATTCTGCTCAAAAAATAATACAGGTTTCCACTGGATAAATGTGATTTCTAGGCCTCAAAAAGTCATGGGAAAAGTGATGGAAATTTCTATGGTAGTAATACAATTTATGCTCAGTTCTATCAGGTAGAAACTATTTTGTGAGTGTTCTTTCCATAACATCATTTTTAAAAATCAAATAAATGGAAAATATCACATAAATCCACTGGTCAGAATCTGTGAAACTTGAATCCTGAATATATCAATATATATATATATATATATTCTTTTTTAGAGAAAGTAATTAGCATTGCTTGACAGCATCATAAGACACACTCCTAATGCAAAGGCAGTGAAATCGAGGCCTTATTTTGGCCAGCTTCACATTTAGAGAAAGCAGTCCCAACATGCATTGCAGCGGGAAAAACGTTCCAAGATGGTGAGCAAACCCTAAATTCTTTTTTCATTCAATACTGAAAATTATTGGACCAAATCTGTTTGAAATCATAAATGGGCTATATTACCTATTATTTGCTAGATATTTTGTTCATCAAATTGTTTATTAGAAAACTATTTGTTTTAAAGCATGAACTAATCCTGCTGAAGCAAAGTTAAGGCACAAAGAGAGGCCACAGATTGTGCATTGTCATTCCATTTACAGATTCTCCCTTTCCCATGCACAGTGACTCGAAACCTAAAAACTTTTCGGCTATTTCTAGCACATACTTGACATTCAACTACTTAATTACAGCATATACACCTGGGCACCAAATGAAAACATTTGATAGTCTTTGTCAATTTCTGCTTTCTCTACATTCTGGCCGGTCACAATCTACCGTTATGAGAGTAGCAGGTTTCCTTCTCCAGACGGTTCATCTGATGCCATTACAAGTGTGTGTCTTCTTCACCAGGTATGTCCTCTTTCAGCAGGTTGTCTATGGGGACGATCCAGCTGTCGTTGAACTCCCCGTTCATTGTCAGTTTTTTCTCTTGCATCTCCGGCTGTACCTCCATCACCTCCAGTGTGGGATTGTCATGATAACCATTCTCCACTGTCTGCAGCTCTTCTGTCAGGTGTTGCTGCCAAGGGGAGAGTACATATTGGGATGTTAAACCGCGTAACGCTTTGGAATTCAGAACGTAACTTTCAACTTTGACTTGAATCATTCCGAACATTCATCATTCGTAGATAAATTTATTGAAAATAATACCCGAATCAAGCAATGTGAGTCTGATTCATCTTTGTGTTTGGAAATTGAGCATTACCTGGTTCTTCCTGTAGGATCTGCGATGATAAGTGCAGTACGCAGCAAAGCAGCACAGAATGAGCACCAAAGCACCACAAGAAGCCAAGATGGCGATCAACGTGTCTGGTATCGTGTACTTGTTTAGATCCTCTTTCTGTAAAGCATTATTGTCTGTAACTCCACTGACAAGTTCTAGAGGTTTGTAGTTTTCTGGCGGTATCTTTTGGTCGGCTGTAAATGGAAAAGCAATTGAATTACTATAAATTTTTTTCAGTATTTTATTGTTATTAAAGATAACCAAACACAATATGGCAAGCACTGATTTCAGTGGTTCCTCTGTATGAGGCTTTAATCTGTTTGGAAGCCGTAACATTTCCCTCACCATCTATTGTTATTGTTGCAGTTAATTTCTTGTCATTAATTTCCACCATCACGGTGCAATTTCCTTTCATCTTCTGACCCAGCGTCTTACAGGCTTCACGGATGACATTCCCCTGTGCGAAACAAAATAATAAAATGGTAGCATTTCATGTTTGGTTGCATGTTTTGATCATTTTTAAGGAGAAAGTTTTGTGAAGTCGGTCACTTTGCATACTGTTGTTGGCCAAGAAATGTTTTCTGGCTCCATTTAATACATTGTTCTGAATTGTGAGATAAAAAGTGTACACTGAGAATTTACTTTTTTTCTAAATTCTGAGTTTACACTTTGAAGTTCTGTTTTTTTTCTTCTTCTGTGAATTCTGAATTCACTCATAATTCTTTTTTTTTACGGAATAAAAAAGGTAATTGCAACTTTTCATCTCACAATTTCTATGTTTCTTCTTAGAATTGCTAGATGACCTTGCAATTCTTGTCAGAATTGGAAGTTTAGATCTCTCAATTATGACTTTGTCTTTCTCTTTGAGAAAAAAAAAGTCAGAATTGCAAGATATAAACTCAGGATTGTCAGGGAAAAAGTCTGAATTGTGAGGATATTCACAATTACCTTTATTTGTTTTTGTTTTTTGGTGGAAACAGGCATCCTTTTGTAATAAATCTTTAACACACTTTTTAAAAAAAAAGGGTGATACAGGATTTCTTGTCATCTCAGTGAAAAATAGATGTAAGGAGACCTTTGGGGATCAATGACTGATATCTTTGTAGGACAAAAAAATAGACATTTTATTGATAGATGTTTTTGTCATTCATGTACTCACCTTACTGCTGCTGCTTAGATCAAAGGGATCCTGCAGAAGAGAAAATCAACATGATCAACAGGAACTATATAAGTATATATCAACAATATATAAGAAAAATACATGAATGTAAATATTTTACATGACTGAATATGGGTTGAATGTTGACAGTCCCAGTATTGTCGTTATGTGTACGCGGTTCCAGAAGCAGGGCTATTGTGATCGGAGCAATGGTTGTTTGTGCTTCCAGTGTCTGAAGACTCTTAGAAATAGTAGTTGTAGAATCTGGTGATGCTGTGGTGAGCAATTTAGCTGAAAATTTTTAGACAAGAGAAGTTAAAACTTTTTAGTAGTTCAAACTAATATTAGATTCTGTCTTCCTTTACTGGCCCTCATGTCATTCTGAACTTGTTTTTATTTCATCCGTGAAACACAAAAGAATATATTCTGAAGGCTGTTCACAATGTTCTTTTCCATACAATAAAAGGCTGTCAAGCTAAAAACATAAAGGTAGCATTAAAGAGGTCAAAGTGTAAATAGTATTTGTGTGACTTGAAATTTAAGATTGGTTGAAATTAAGTTAATTGGAATTTGAGATGAGCATTGAACTCAAGATCTGAATGCAAGACTGCCTTAAATTGTGGGGGTTTATACTGACTAAATGACTGATTACAACTACACGGTCATTAAATGGTCAAAAGATGTACATTTTGGTCAAAAAAAAGAAAAAGAAAAACAAGAAAATAGAAATGCTTGTATAGTTCAATCATTTACAGTAAGATCAATAAGATGCATTTATAAAAAAGATAGGATGAATTTTCATGCAAACTCTAAGGTACCTCTGTTTGCTTTCTTGTGTTTTTAGGAGCATGAATGCCTCCTGGTTACTGCTGCTTTTATCGGATGTAAAGTATGAAATACTTGTGGCTCAATGAGGAAAGAAAATCCTAGGAGTTTGGAACAACATGAGGGTGAATAAATGATGACAGAATTTTCTGCTGAAGTTGTGCAGTTCTGTCTGTGCAGTTGTCTATTTATGTTGTAATCTAATATTTTTTTTATAAAGACTGTACCAATGTGAAGGAAAACTTACTTGGTGACCCAGTGTTGGCTTCTTTGCCATTTATAGTCTGTTTGGAAGGGTCGAGTCGCGCTGCTGGGCCAGAAAGACCGGGTTGTGCGCCTGGGTCAGACGGATCGGGTTGCGTGGCTGGGTCAGACGGATCGGGTTGCGTGGCTGGGTCAGAAGGATCGGGTTGCGCGGCTGGGTCAGACGGATCGGGTTGCGCGCCTGGGTCAGAAGGATCGGGTTGCGCGCCTGGGTCAGAAGGATCGGGTTGCAGGCCTGGGTCAGAAGGATCGGGTTGCGCGGCTGGGTCAGACGGACCGGGTTGCGCGCCTGGGTCAGAAGGACCGGGTTGCGTGGCTGGGTCAGACGGACCGGGTTGCGCGCCTGGGTCAGACGGATCGGGTTGCGCGGCTGGGGCAGACGGATCGGGTTGCGCGGCTGGGGCAGACGGATCGGGTTGCGCGGCTGGGGCAGACGGATCGGGTTGCGCGGCTGGGGCAGACGGATCGGGTTGCGCGGCTGGGGCAGACGGATCGGGTTGCGCGGCTGGGGCAGACGGATCGGGTTGCGCGGCTGGGGCAGACGGATCGGGTTGCGCGGCTGGGGCAGACGGATCGGGTTGCGCGGCTGGGGCAGACGGATCGGGTTGCGCGGCTGGGGCAGACGGATCGGGTTGCGCGGCTGGGGCAGACGGATCGGGTTGCGCGGCTGGGGCAGACGGATCGGGTTGCGCGGCTGGGGCAGACGGATCGGGTTGCGCGGCTGGGGCAGACGGATCGGGTTGCGCGGCTGGGGCAGACGGATCGGGTTGCGCGGCTGGGGCAGACGGATCGGGTTGCGCGGCTGGGTCAGACGGATCGGGTTGCGCGCCCGGGTCAGACGGATCGGTTTGAGTGCCCGGGTCAGAAGGATCGGGTTGCGCGCCTGATGCGGATGACATGCTATACAGGAGGACACCTATGGGAAACAAAGAAAACTGCTAGTTAAGAAAGAGTATAAGGATAATACTGGTCTGCAAACTCAAGATTTCTAATCGGTTCTGTGCAATTGCTATAATGCTACATTATAGGTACACAATAGCAGTGTTGTACACTGTTTTTAAATGTTGGAGTCAAAAAGAGGCAGTGTTAACTGCTTTTATACATGCCAACAAGTAGCTTCTTTGCTGATTGCTACTGCAACAGTAATTGGAACAAAACAGTTTCTTGTGTGTTCAGTCAAAAATTTAGCTACTTTTTTATTTTTAAAAGTATTTTTACTGAATGTTTATCTGGTAATAGACACTATAAACAAGAAGCAAGAGCTTAATTTATTTATACAGAGTCAGTCTTTACATGTATTCCCTCTCGTATGTGAATATCATGTAGCCAAGCCTTTTAAATTATGCTTTTCACTCTGAAAGGTTCTAATTCCTGTATTATCACAGCAAATTTTTCTCAGCAGTATTTATTGTATACTTTAAAAAAAAAGGCAGCAGCATACTCGTGAAGCTCAGACAGCGCGGATTTTGAACGGTGCTGCCAAGCATCCATCTGGCGAATCTCTGCTCTCAACCCTACAAAAGGAACAAACTTCTTCTGCTCTCCCGGACAAACAAGGATTTTTCAAACTCTGCTGCTCTGTGTTTCAGGAAAACCTGGCTGAATGACACCATTCCGGACAGCACGCTACCTGCACTTCAGATCAGTGAAGATGATGTGCATCAGGTCTTCAGAAAGAACAAGAGAAGAAAAGCGCCAGGCCCAGACGGTGTGACACCAACCTGTCTGAAAACCTGCGCTGACCAGCTAGCCTCCATCTTCACACAGATCTTCAACAGATCACTGGAGCTGTGCGAAGTCCCCTCATGCTTCAAGCACTCCACCATCATCCCCGTCCCAAAGAAACCCAAAATTACTGCACTTAATGACTACAGACCTGTGGCTGTAACGTCTGTGGCCATGAAATCATTTGAAAGACGGGTTTTGGCTTATCTGAAGGACATCACTTGACCCCCTTGCAGTTTGCCTACAGAGCAAACAGGTCTGTGGATTATACAGTCAACATGGGACTGCACAACATCCTGCAACATCTAGATAGACCAGGGTCTTATGTGAGGATCCTGTTTGTGGATTTCAGCTCGGCTTTCAACACTATCATTCCAAACCTCCTCCTGTCCAAACTAACTCAGCTATCCGTGCCCCCCTCCGTCTGTCAGTGGATCACCAGCTTCCTGACAGACAGGCAGCAGCTAGTAAAGCTAGGAAAATTCTCATCCAGCCCCTGTACGATCAGCACTGGCCCCCCCCAGGGTTGCGTCCTCTCCCCACTGCTCTTCTCTCTCTACACCAATGACTGCACATCTAAAGACCCCGCTGTCAAGCTCCTGAAGTTTGCAGATGACACTACAGTCATCGGCCTCATCCAGGAGAGAGACGAGTCTGCCTACAGACAGGAGGTTAAAGATCTGTCTGTCTGGTGCAGTCTTAACAACCTGGAGCTGAACATGCTCAAAACAGTGGAGATGATAGTGGACTTCAGGTTCCTGGGCACCACAATCTCTCAGGACCTGAAGTGGGACAATCACATTGAGTCCATTGTTAAAAAGGCCCAGCAGAGGCTGTACTTCCTTCGCCAGCTGAGGAAGTTCAACCTGCCACAGGAGCTGCTGAAACAGTTCTACTCCACCATCATTGAATCCATCCTCTGCACTTCAATAACTGTCTGGTTCAGCTCAGCTACCAAATCTGACCTCAGAAGGCTACAGAGGATAGTCAGGACTGCTGAGCGAATCACTGGTACAACCCTCCCCACTCTCCAAGAACTGTACTCATCCAAAGTGAGCAAAAGGGTTAGCAAAATCTCTCTGGACCCCTCACATCAAGCCCACTCCCTCTTTGAACTGTTGCCATTACCGAGCACCAGAACAGCCAGACACAGGAACAGCTTCTTCCCTCAGGCAATCCATCTCATGAATACTTGACAATAAACGTGGAACACACAACACTATTATACATTTATTTATTCAACATATACTTATTTACATTTCAAATGAGCAAATATCATACCTGTACATACATAATTGTCTATATTATATATTGTGTTTTTGCTATTTTGTACATTGTCTATTTTGTATATTCTTTTTATTATCTGTGTCCTGTCTTGTCACTGTCATTCTGTTGCACTGTGGAGCTTCTGTCACTAAAACAAATTCCTCGTATGTGGAACATACCTGGCAATAAAGCTGAATTCTGATTCTGATAAATGTTGAGCAATTTCCCTTTTTCTTGAGGTCTCAGGTGGTTATCGAATAACAATGAACCAATGTTGTTGGTTTTTATTTTGCTAAACATTATTATTATTATTTATGCACCTTTAATTGTTATTATGTCTTGAAGTCACATCGTAGTGGGAATTTATCTCTGTTATTTTTTTGTGAGCTGGACAGAACACTCCATACAATAACTTAGGAATTAACACACCTACTCTAATGGGTGGAACCACAGATGCCAAAACAATGGTGTCCAAATCTGCTTCATAGTCTCTTGAGGCTTAAAACAACAGCCTTTCCTTAACTTGCAGCTCTTAAATTCATAATTATATATTTGGTAATTGACAGATTTCTATAACTACTAAAACATTGTTTATAAGAATTACAGTTACTTTATTATTATTTTACAAATATATCTTGTACAGACAAAGACAAACCATATATATATATATACTGCCGTTCAAAAGATTGTGATCAGTAAGATTTGTAATGTTTTTAAAGAAGTTTAATATGCTCATCAAGGCTGTAACTATTTGATCAAAATACAAAAATAAACTAATTTTGTGAAATATTATTGATTATTATATATTATTATATTATATATATATATATATATATATATATATATATATATATAATATTATTATTATTATTATTATTATTCCTGTGAAGCAAAGGTGAATTTTCAGCATCATTACTGCAGTCTTCAGTGTCACATGATCCTTCAGAAATCAAAATGGTAAAACAAATATATGAAGAGCATGCTCACAGATGAAAACAGAGAAAAAAACAGCATTGGATGAAGTGGATTAGAGCCCTGCACGGGCCTCAAATATAGGCCCTAGCCAATCTTTTGTCCCCTTTTCCCAAAAAAGCTTATACTACTGTTTCAGCTATTAAAATAGTTCATTTTTTGTTTGTAATGGTTCAGTTTTGTATGTAATGGAAAAGTGATTATATATATATATATATATATTTTTTTTTATAAAGTTAATTTAGAAAAATGTTTGGAGCATTTTTTTTGTTTGTTAAATTTTTTTTCATTTTTTTTAAGTAACTTAAAAGTGGCAGCGGCAGACAATGAATGGATCATAGCCTATATGTTTGATCAATTTAGCCTTCTCAAATCATCACGACTTGCCTAAAATAAAATCTATAGATATAAAACAGTTCAAGCATATCACAATGTTAGTTTAAATGTTTAAACTAGACAAATGTGCGCTGTTAGACTCATATCCAATCTTTTGTGCAGAGAGTTGAAGCTAAAGCACGCTCTGCAGGACATGGCGGCGCCAGTGCGATCGCTTGCATTTTTTTCTAACAGTGGAAACAACTTAAAATACGTCATTTTTGCTCATAAAGGTAAGAGTAATACATCATTTTAAATTGTAACAGGTCTACTTTTATTTGTGTGCACTCACAATATTAACAAAACGTTGTGCTTTTATAAAATAAAGAAAACAAACGCTTTCTGCCGTCTCGGTCTTGAAAAGGAGCGTTTCACAATGATGAACCTAAACTCAGCGAATCGCCTCACAGACATGATAAAAATATATATAGAAAGCTTTAAATTACTACTTTAAAATGAAATAATTCAAATTAGAAAATATAAACTCTTTCATTATGTAATCCATGCATTTCTCTCTAAAGGCACATCCAATGAGGAGATGGCGAGTAATTTTTTTTCATCACCATATGGATGTCTAAAATATAAAAATAAGGAAAAGTCTAAAACAGGCCCAATTATAATTTGTGTTTTGTTTTATAATTCTGTACAATTAAAAAATAAAACAAATTATAATGGCATATATGCAGTCGTGTGAAGTAACAACGTTACAGTAATTAAGTAGTTTTTATCAGTAATTGTACTTTTTTGAGTAGTTTAAAAATTGTGTACTTTTACTTTTACTTGAGTACATTTTAAGTGATGTATCGGTACTTTTACTCCGCTATTTTCCTCCGTTTGTGGTCGTTACATGCTTATTTAAATGTTATTTAAATCCATCAACGTGATTGGATAGAGAGATAGTAGCCTAATAGGTCTCGTGACTTTCGTCAAATCAAATTGTGCATAGAAAACTTTAACCGCCAACTGTTTATCATGGCTGCTGGAAGTACATTCTTCAAGCATCAATTCAGTCACATCTTCCTCTAACTTAATAGGTTAAGGTAAATTTCGGATTTCTGCTTACTAAATGATTTGTATATATGCTTGCCTATCTACACG